GTTTTTCCCCCCCCCAAGAATCCTCTATTTCTAATCTCTTGCAATCAATACTCTCATTATATTAATTAAATTAAAATTTCACAACATGCACTATGTACTATATCCATTGTGTGAGTCAGAGGGATAGTGGATAAAGAGCTGATTTTGAAGCCAAATGATTCAAGGCAAGTCCTTTAATCTTGGTGCTCTAGGATAATGACATCAAACTCAATAGAAAGTTTACATAAGGATCCCTGTGGGCTGCATGTTGACTTAGAACATGACAAACTACCATTAACTATGTTTTATTGTATTTTTATTTATTTTGTTAAAGATTTCCCAATTATATTTTAATCTGTCTCAGGTTATACACAGTAGTGTTGCAGGCCCATGCGTTGGACACCTTGGCACTAAAATGCTTTGTAAGACTCTAAAAATTGTGCATACTTCCTATCCCTTTTACTGGGGAGGATGAGGCTTGTGGATCTCTTGAATTCCAGGAGTTTTGAGCTGCGGTAGTACCAAAGTTGATTGGATTTCTATAATGTCTTATATTTATATAGTGAACTCCTAGGAACAGCAACAGAAAGGTGAGGGTGAGGGTGAGGGTGAGGGGGTAGGTTGTCTAAGGAGGCCCTGAACTAGCCCAGGTTGGAAACAAAGTTCAAAGCTCTGATCAGTAGCTGGGCTGGTCTCATAAGCAGTCTCTGCACTTTCACCTGGGGTAACACAGGTCAACTTAATCTTAAAAAACAAAATGAACTCAACCAAACAAAAAGGCCATGTAAATTGCAGAGAAGGTAACAGTAATTTCCAATATCAATGAAATTACAAATCTAGACCATATCCCTACTATACTCATTAAATATAAACCATCATAAAATTAGTAATAGCCAAATACAGTTTGTTATGCTAATTAATTGTAATTAGTATTAAGAAGATTGCTTGTTCTACACAGCCACAAAATAATATTTCTAAAGCACAAGATTGGCCGTGTTATTGTGTTGCTCAAAAATCTTCCTCAGCTCCCTATTGCCTCTAGAATAAAATACAACTCCTCAGTTCTTTTCAATTAAAGTCTTTATCAATCTGATGACATTGGCAAAGAAGGCACAGTAGGAGAAAGCAGTACATCAGCTTTTTTTTTCCCCCAACTACTTCAACAAAGACTGAGTTAGAGCCAGATAGCATAGTGCATGGGAAAACCGAAGAGAAACAACAGCGGCATTTTTCTAGCCCAAGATTCCCAAGTTAGCCCACAGGTAAGTAAATAGGTTAGAGGCTACAACCAGGAGTGGATCTGTATCACTGTTGCTCCGATTTTGGAACAGCATCAAAGATTTACCCCACAGACCTGGGCTGGGCTCTATAGCTGAGTAACAAAGACTGGGCCTGTGGACTTCAGGCTAAAGAGCAGGAATGTACCTACAGATATGAACCTTTGAGGCACCCTAGCTATCACACCGAGTCTGGGGCCAGCAATTGTATACTAGAACTTCAACCAGGGTCAAGCCTATAGTAGTATTTCTGTAAGGACTTCAGTAGTCTTCCAGCCCTGTTAAATGAAGAAGCTCGAAAGCCCAAATCCTCTGAGTTACCCAGACAAAAACAAGCCTAGAGTAAAAATTGAAAGTTCTCTTTCCTAATGTTACGGAGTCTGAATATCAACTAGTCATCAATTCCTCGGGTATTCTTCCCACCCACCTCACAGCATAAATCAGCATCAGTGCAGGAACCATGAACAGCATAATAGATCCAGGCTCCTAGCCCTTTCCTCTAGGATCTGGTCCTGCTCTACCCAGGTAAGAACATCATAAAATTTTGGCACCCTATTCTACTTGAGACCATAGGGCAGTTGACCTGTTTCCATTCTCCTTGACTGCCCCCATATTGTATCTCCTCTCAATAAAACTGGCTTCTTTACTTTCTATCTACTGACTCCTTTCTTGGGCCATGTTCTGTCTTGCTCTCCAGCCCCATCTTGTATTAAACCCTGGAATCCTGAAACTCACTCAAACTATGTTAAGACAATTGCCCGCACCCAGACCAGTAGACAAAGCCCACAAAGTACAGGTCAGAATGACAGCAGTCAGACCATGCTCTAAACCAGATCACTTAAGACCCAGTGATAGTTTGCAGCTTCCTGGCCTGAGTTGCCCACAAAATCCATGAAGAACAAAGCACCTAATAGGCAGAGAACACAACAGCAAAACCACAGATTATAAAGATCAGGAACAAAATAGGTCTCAACATTCTGTCCAGAATTATGCAGAGGTTCAACTTTTATTTATTTTTATTTTATTTTATTTTATTTTTTCAGAATCTCAACCTAACACAAAGTCCAAATTGAGGAAATAAGATTAGAAGAAGGAATAAGCATATAAATCCTTTCATAATCTGGCTGCAGCTTACTTTTCCAGACTTAACTCCACATTACTACCATTCATGTACAGTACATTCCAGTCAAGGGACATCAGTGCCATCTAGTTCAACCCTCTCTTTTTACAGATAAAGAAACTGAGGCCCAGATAGGCTGAGACTTGTCTCTTTCCACAGTACCATGCTGCTTCTCAGTTTCCTCCTCAAAATGTAAGAATGAGGGTCACTAGATCAATTGACCTATCCCATTTAAAGTTATTGAAAAGTCCCTGTCCCTGATACTCTTTTCAAACAAGAACAATAATCAACAATAGGTGTGCAGGTCTAGAAATTCCTGTTGAATCAATCAATCATAGACCTTAGTCTAAATGTGAAAAATCCTTGATCAATTTAGAAGTCTCCAAAAGCTATTGAATGAAGTAAAATGATTCCACAAAGGATGTGTATTTGGATTGGTTGAGGAGACTCAACTCATCCATTGATTTTGTGTAAAAGAGTAAGCCAATTCAGATCCAAGACATTTAAGTTTCTTGTATATTGTTTTCCTCTAAGTGATTTATTGTCTTTTGCTTCTAAAATTAAAAAAAAACATACTGAATAACTGTAGTGTAAAGCTATGTAGGAGATGTAAGGGAAAATAAACAATTTAGAAAAAAATAGGTCCCTGCCTTCATGCAGTTTATAATCTAGAGGAGAATAAGATACAGAGAGATAGTTAAGTTATACTATGTAATATTATATGATAAGTAAATAGGAGAGGTAGAAAATTTTTTTTATGTGAGATAGGCAAGGGAAAAATAATTTTAGAGCATTTTTAAATGAAATTGTGATTTTGCTGATGTATTTCCTCCATCAATGCAAATAGCAACCCACTCCCATCCTCTCATCATGTGTGATTCTTATATCTTCTCTTAATTCCTCAATGGGGAAATCATTCATCTGTCTCTCTCAGTCTCTCTCTCTCTCTCTCTCTCTCTCTCTCTCTCTCTCTCTCTTCTCTCTTCTTTCTCTCTCTCTCTCTCTTTCTCCCTCCACATATCTGTATATTTTTCTATCTATTTATCTCTATATCTTGACATTGTGTGTGGATAATAATGTAGCTCACAACATCATTTCTTAGTCTCTACATGGCCAATTATTTTCCTGCCTGATCAACACATCATGAAGCTAAGAGATTCTCTGGTTAAATGACCATATCTTGATGAATCAAGCTCTTTTGTGATGCACAAATTCATTATTTGAGTTTTGTCCAATTGAAGCTGGGCACCACACAGTTGGTAGTGAGCACCACCCATCAGGCCTGCTCTATGTTTATAGTTTAAATAGCTGGTGAGAAAATGGCCACACTAATTTTACACCCATAGTAGAACAAGACTAGAGAACATAGGACGCGTGTAATAGTGAGAAAACAACTGGCAAAGAGAGTTCTTAGCAATGATAAACCAAGTTAAGGGGATAGTGGGAGGGTAGGAAGTAAGCAGTATTGGAGATGTATTAAGTATGGTAAAAGGATGAGGAAAGAGGTTACTAAAAATGGAAGGATTCAGAAAAAGGCAACTAGGAGGGTAGAGGGCCTTAATTCCACACCATTTGAGGTTTGGTTGAAGGAATGGATTGTGTTTCTTTTGAAAAGGAAACTCAGAGGAGAAATAATTGCTATTTTCAATATTTGAAAGGCTGTCACATAGAATAACTAATTACTGATCTTATTCTATTTGGCCTAAGAAGTCAAAACTGGGAGGAATGGGAGGCTGTTACAAAGAGGCAGATTTAGGTTTGGCATTAGGAAAAGACAACAACACTCAGAGCTGTCCAAAAGTGGAATGTGTTATCTTGAGAGGTGGTAGATTTAGCTCCATTTTGGCAGACTTCAAACAGAAGTTGGGCCATCAGGTCACCTAATAGTAAAGATTTCTTTCTGTTGTAGTTTAGAATAGATGACCAATGGGGCACTCTAAAATTGTTTGATTAATGATAAATGCAAGCTTTAAGTTATCAAAGATAGAGAAAATTATAATTAATTATTATAATTTTAATCTCTGACTATAATTTTTTTTGACTTCCATGTCTAAAGACCACAATAGGGGGCAGCTAGGTGGCGCAGTGGATACAGTACAAGCCCTGGATTCAGGAGGACCTGAGTTCAAATCCAGCCTCAGACACATAACACTTACTAGCTGTGTGACCCTGGGCAAGTCACTTAACCCTATTGCCTAGCCAAAAAAAAAAAAGATGAGTTGTAAACATCCACAAATCGTCAGGGGCAGCTAGGTGGCACAGTGGATACAGCACCGGCCCTGAAGTCAGGAGGACCTGACTTCAAATCTGGCCTCAGACCACACTTGACACTTACTAGCTATGTGACCTTGGGCAAGTCACTTAACCCCAATTGCCTAAAAAAAAAAGAAAAGAAAATAAAGACCACAATAGTTGATTTCAATAAATTCTTTTCTGCATAATATTTTGCATAACCTGTGAAATGTTTCAAGATAGTCTGGTATGGTGATAAGAAAAAATATAAAGACTGAGTAATCTTAATTCCATTTCCTTGCTTTTTCAGTTTAGCAGTATTATTTTAAACAGGTTTTTTTTGTAATGGCAAGATAAAGACATTTATCCTACAAAGGCTGAAATGACTGAGAATGAGGTAGGTGTAGAGCATAGCAGAAAACAGATTCCTTGAAGAGGGGTCGAGTGCAGGGCAGGCCTGGCTTTGAAAGAGAAAGTGGCGAATTTCAAGTCAACATGTCCATTTCACTTTCTTGTACCTTTTTTTTTCTTTGCAATTTGCCTGCTGGGAGAACAAAACAGTGAAAATGGGATTCTGTTTAACTGGATGATGCAGTCTACTGACCCTATTATCAGGACCAGTGGGCTGCTATGTGAATTAAAAAGTCCATTTTGGAAACTAGCAAAAGGTAGACATTGCCTAGAGTTTACTAGTGAGTGTATTTAAACCTGAAAAGTCCTACTTGATTCCCTCATATTTCCAAGAAATGTGCACCAATAGGAAAAACTTGCTCTTCTTTCCCCAACATTTTTAGGTGTAGTTCAGAATTAAATCTTGTCTCTTCTATTATGGATGAATCAGTCTTGTGGCTAAGATATTCTTCTGTACAGTGAGAATATTTTAGACTTCATTCTTTCTTTATGTAACTATCTTTGGGCTCTGCTGAGACAGACAATCTACCCTCCTTTCAACCCCAAAAGGGCAAGAATGTGGAAACATGCTTTATAACACACTTAGCTCTTTTTAACTCTGAGACATGCTGACTTTCTGGCGTGATGCCCACAAAAAGAGACAAATGAGACCCTGCTGGCTATTATTCCCTCCCTCCCTCCTCTACAGCTGGGGTGGGGGAAAAGTAAACTATCCAATTGGAAAGGGGCCTCATTTCCTTCATCAAGTCAAAAGTAAAAATAATAATAATAATAATAATTGGAGAAAGTACTTAAAGTTACAGTCTGCTTATATACAAGTTGGCTGATGTTTTTGCTATTTATAATGAGGCAGAAAGAATGTATCAAGGGACCCAGAAATGGGAACATAGAAAGCTTTCCAAAGGTGATCACCCTTTTTTTAAAAAATCATAGATATTTTTTAGTGTGTTAGGTATTATTGGCACTTTTGTTTGGATTATGAACAAACATTCTTTGCTTTTGTTGTCCTGTATCAAAATCTTATTCTTTTGTGTCCCAATATTAAGGGAATTTGCTAGATAAAAAAAAAAATCGCTAAGAAGGAGATTAAAGAAGATATTCTAAAACTTTATTTAAAAAGGAACAGATTGAGAATTTTTTAAGTGGATGTCATTCTTCAACCATGTAAGTTTAGGTGAAAATAGTATTATTTATGATCAAAGATCTAAATGCCACATGGAGTGGGGATTATAAAGAGGATGCCCTTACCAATAATGACTCATGTATCCACCCCTTTGACCCCAAACCCAGTGATTACTCCATATTTCTAGAGTCCTTGGAATCTGGGTCTGATTTGGAATAAGTCTAAGCTTTCTATGACAGAATGGAGTTTTTAGTGTAGGGCCTTTCCCTGGTTGTTCCCTACTTCAGGAGATCATAAAGAGAAATTTATTTTGGTTCTTACAAGAAAATTGAGATCTTTTATATTTGGGTTTCTATTTGGATCCCATACTCCACAGGGGTGGCATATTATGACTTTGAGGTCTTGGGATCACAGACCCAGAGCTGGAAGGGATCTTAAAGGTCCAACCTTCACATTTTATGGATCAGGAAACAAATTCAGAAAGGTTAAGAGACTTTGCTTATAATGACACAGCTAGTAAGTGTCAGAGGCAGTATGTGAAATTAGGTCATGCCCATTCTAGATGTTGTATTTTACCTACTACATGATGTACTAAGTATGCCTTGGTTTGTTCATAAAGTAATTGCCATATTTTTTCAAAATTCCAAAGCTGGTGGTGGAATGGTTAGAATTGAAACTGGAGGAGGATTCTTTCATCTTTTCTGCAGTTTAATTCATTAATAATTAAATAACTTATTTATTTTATAAGAAATTAAACATCAATTTTTGTGGAACTTTGGTGAAAACTGATTTTTCTCCCCTAAATTTTTATGCCAATTGAAAATCTGTTCTCCAAGCTTTCCAATGATATCTTAATTGTTAAAGCAAATGGCCTTTTCTTAGTCCTTGTCTTTTGACTTCTCTGTAGTATTTGACACAATTGACCACACCTTCCTCTTGTATATTCTTTTGGTTCTCCTCTAAATTGTCTAAATCATTCTTATAAATTGAATTGCTGTATCATTATCCTTGTACCACCCATCTGCTATAAGTGGGTAAACCCCAGGACTCTGTTCTGGGACCTTTTCTATCTCTGTGCTCTTTCTCTTGATTATGTCCTCAGCTCATATGATTTCAATTATTATTTCTATGCATTGGACTCCCAATTTTACACACCTAGACCTTAAGCTTCAATAACTACATCATTAACTGTATAATGGACATGTCCACCTGGGTGTCCATAGGCATTTCAAGCTCAACAAGTATAACTGAACATTATCTTTCTCTGTAACCAGGCAGCTAAGTAGCATAGTGGATAGATTCTTAGAATTGGAGTCAGGAAGACTTCGCATAAAAAATGGTCTCAGATAACTGAGACTACTACTCCTGTCAGCCACCATGCCCTCAGATGTGCTGGAAGTGACCAAGAAGTTTATGAGGGATCCTATCAGGATTCTAGTCAAGAAGCAGGAGTTGACATTAGAAGGCATTCGTCAGTTTTACATAAATGTGGAACGAGAGGAGTGGAAGCTAGATACCTTGTGTGATCTGTATGAAACGCTATTACCCAAGCTGTTATCGTCATCAATATCCGCCAAAAGGTGGATTGGCTCACTGAGAAAATGCATGCCCGTGACTTTACTGTCTCTGCAATGCATGGAGACATGGACCAAAAAGAACGGAATATAATCATGAGGGAGTTTCGTTCAGGTTCCAGTAGGGCGCTTATTACCACTGACCTATTGGCTAGAGGCATTGATGTTCAGCAAGTGTCTTTGGTTATTAATTATGACCTTCCCACCAACCGGGAAAATTATCTTCACAGAATTGGCGGTGGTGGGCACTTTGGCTGTAAAGGCGTGGCTATCAACATGGTGACAGAGGAAGACAAAAGGATTCTTCGAGACATTGAGACCTTCTATAACACCTCCATTGAGGAGATGCCTCTCAATGTGGCTGACCTCATCTGAGGGGCTTCCCCACCTGATTTAACCCAGGGCCTTGCTCTCTGGGATGGGGGGAGGGGGGAACAAGGGACGGACACCTTTGTCATTTTTTTCTTTTTTCTTTTTTTTTTACTTTGAATAAATGTCAATTTTTGAGGCAAAAGAAAAAAAAGTAGTAGCTTAAACTATGTTTAGTTTAATTTCCTTATTCTAAAATTTGGGGAAATAATATTACCTACTTTTGTGAAGTTCTTTACAAAGTTTGAAATGTCATATGAATGCTAGGTATTGTTGTTATTGTCATTCTCCTTATTAAACTTTTTGGGTCATAGATCCCTTGGGCAGTCTACTGAAGCATATGGATCTCTTCTCAGAATGATATTTTATATGCCTATGATAAAATATATAGGAAAACAAGGAATAGCAATTTTATTGAAATACAGTTATCAACATATTTTTTAAAAACAAGTTTGTATACCTCAGGTTAAAAACTCTAAATAAACTTATTTTTCTATTTTCTCTAACACTGTTGAGGGTACCACCATCCTTCTAGTTACTCAGTTTGAAACTCATCCTTGACTCTTCACTCTTCATATATCCAATCAATTGCCAGGTTTTATCAATTTTATCTACTTCTACAACACCTCCCAGATAAGTTTCCTTTCTCTAAAGACTCCTCTCCTCCATCCCCGCCCCAGTTCAAGTTATCTGGACTACCACAATAGTGTTCTAATTAGTTTTCCTGACTCCTGTCTCTCTCTTGTCTAATCCATCCTCTGTGTATCTGCCAAATTAATATTCATAAAAGCACAGTTCTGACCACGAAGTTTCCCTGCTTAATAAACTTTAATGATCTCCTATTGCTTCTAGGGTGAAATGCAACCCCCTGTTTGGCCTTTCCTTTCCTTTCACAATCTGACTCTAACCTACCCATCCAGACTACCTTATATTATTCCCCTCACATTCTTTCTGTTCTAGCCAAACCAACTTATTTGCTATCCCCTGAATTCAAAACTCCATCTTCAGTCTCTGTGACAAAAAGCTCTCTCTTGAGAGAGAGAGAAGGCATGAAAAGCTTTGTCTTTTCTACCCTACCTCTTATGCTCAGATTAGTTACCACTTTCTAAAGGAGGTGCCTGACTTCCCTTGGTGTTAGTGGTCCTCCCTAATTATTTTATATATTTGTGTATTTACTTCGTATGTGTATGTATGCATGCATGTATGTGTTTGGTACTTAATTTTGTGTGCATATGTCTTCCCGCAATAGGGTGTAAGCTTCTTGATGGCAAGGACTGTTTTTGTTTTTGTCTTTATATCCCAGAAGCCAATATGATATCTGACTTGTAGTAGAGGCTTACTAAATGTTAAATGAATTGAATTGAATCAATCCTCTCCTCTCTTTTCTTCATCTTTCCCTCCCTTTCCTCCTTTCTTCCCTTCCTCCATCTTTCCCTCCATTCCTCCCTCCCTTCCTTTCCTTCCTTCCCCTTTGGTTTGCAATTTGTTTTTTCTTGGTATTTAGATATCACACAAATATATTCAGATTATCACCAGTCTTATTCTAGGTACAAATATGCAAGTTACAGAGATGAGACACTGAACTGAACTTTTAAGAGCAAATTTCAGAATAATCAATGTGGTCTTTCAGTCAGTGGGTTCCTTTACAGAAACTGCATTCTTGAGTTCTGCTAATTCTCCTTCAGTTAAGTTTACAGCTTCCCAACTTTTGATTGAAATCTAGCTGAATCTTTTTAATATGTATATTTTTCCACCACACCTTCTCCCACACACTAAATGGATAGCTTTATTCACTTGAATATTTTTTCAAAGTGGCAGATCTTGAAAGAATGTTATTGTTGAAGATTCAAATGGATTTCTGTGAAATAGAAAAAATATGAAGTACTTTTCTGATTTTTGTATACATACATGCATGTATAATTTATGTGTACACATACACATGCACACATATATATACATATATGTTTCAGAAACCTAATAATTTTCTAAATCAGTGATTAAAATGGAATTTATATTCCCATAAATCAGTGGTAACCACTCTTTTTTGGGTAATGGGAGGGATACAAACTCTTAGTGAGATCTGTAGTCAGACTTTCCCATTACATAGATGCTGGCCGTGCACACTTTTGTTTTCTTCTTTCAAGTTTAATAGCATTACACTTTGTTAGAGAAAAGCAATACAATTTTTTTGCATTAAAAACAAAAATTAATTTAAAAAAAGGTGTGGTAATTGTGAATTATAGTCCTAGCTTTAGCGTGAGCAAAAGGTTTGTTTTCTTCATCCTATAGCTGATAAAATATTTTCATTTTTAAGTTTTGTGAATTTTTTTTAACAACACAGCTATTTTATTTGATTCTATAGCTCTAATGTATCATCTCTCTGAGAAGAGGTATGACATAACCATCATTTAACTTTTGAATTCATGACTGTTGAGTACATTGAGAAGAACAAGAATGGGAAAGGAAAAGGAAGAAGAATAATTGTAAAACCAACCTAGAAATGACTCATGCTTGAACAACCATTATCTCCCACCTCTCAGTTAAAAGGTGGGAAGTTTGTTTTGTCATCTATACTTTTGAATCAATAGTTAGTGGAGTTTTAAATGTTGCCTTTTTATATATGTGTGTGTATATGCATGGATCTATATGTATGTATATATGTGTATATACACACATATACACACACATGCATTCACATGCATAAGTATAAACCATATATATGTGCATATACACTTATATGTGTATAAATGTAGATAATGACATCAATATGCTGAAAGGAAAAACTATATTACAGATCTGACCAGGTCAGACGAATGGGAAAAGAGCCATTTATATTGCTAAACCACTTTGAAGAGAAGTCATTCCTAATTTATTTTAATTGCCTGTTAACTTACTAATTAACTTCGTATACCCCAGGGTGCTTACGGCACCCAATCTACAGTGTGGTCTCAGAAAGTAAACAGACATGTTTTAAGACTTGTTTAACTAACATAAAAAAGATACTAATTTGAAGAACTTTGAAGCTACAACCTCAATTGGAAAACATGAATTGGTGATAAATTATTTTCATCGTAGAATAGCAGGAGGAGAATCTGTTCATCAGGAGCAAGCTTTCATGTCATTAGTAATTTATGAATGGATTCTACTTGTATTCTACAGGTGTGCATATAATCTTGGCATAGCACACTCTGTTGGCTCTCGGAGATGCACTTAGATGATTTGGAAACTGGGCTCTGAAAATAGCGCAGGGCCTAAAGTAAAACACAAACATATAAAGCCCACAGAAAATTCATTAAAAGAGTTTCTCACTGAGATCTTGCTGATAGTCTTCTTATATGTTATGTCCATTGGGTGGGTTTTGTATATAGGTAGCATCTTTGGTGATCACAGTTGACATCTCCCTTCGCTTCTCATGCCACAGACTACCCTCTGCTTTTTTCTTTTTTCAGATGCAAAGCCTAGATCTACCCCTTCCTAGTTGTGTGAACCTGTACAAGTGCAAAACTTCAAACTCTCTGGGCAGCATCTTTCTCATATATAAAATGACAAACCTAGTCTGATCTTTAAAGTCCCATTGAGATCTATCCTTCTTTTCCCAGGTGCTTGCGTGCTATCTCTCTCTTCTCTGTCTCTGTTTCTATCCATCTCTGTCTTTGTGTCTCTGTTTCTCTTCCTTTCACACACACACACACACACACACACACAAACTCACACACATACACATACAATATGCCACTGATCATACTTTATTCTGATTCTGACACATATCTGTACTCAGGATATGTTAAAATTCAACATTACTGGATGTGGAGTGAAAAGAATCTTTGTTAAAGTTCTGACTTATTCCCTGAGCGAATCTGGAAAAATAACTTAAAATCTATGGCCTTCAGTTCTTTCATCTGTAAAGCAAGGGGGTTGGATGTGATAGCATCTAAGATCACTTCTAGCTTCAAAACCATATTCTACAAGGAGACAATAATCAATAATCATTTCTTTTTATATAAGATATATCATTTGCCTTAACCCTTTCAGTCACTTTTCTGTAGATATTACGGCTTACTGGAGCTATCCAAAATATATCTAGGGCCCAGATATGCCATTAATTAATTTCTTTCCCACACTTTGCCACCGCAGTCCTCCTACTCCCCACTAGTTGTTTGCCTCCCCATTATTGTTTTTGGATGTGTTTTGTATGGGCATAACATCTACCTTTGTTCCTGTGGATTTGGACTAGTGAAGCCATTATGACTTCCTCATTTTATAGGGAAGAATGGGGGAGAGGTAAGAGAAAACTAGCTTCATACCAGTGATTCACTGGTATTTGTTATCTCAGCAGAATAAAGTTCCCGCACTTTTCATACCCTTCCTTTTTTGTTTCCCAGGGGAAGGAGTGGCTGACTCTTTTTTTTTTTTGAGTAGAATGTTCCCTGGGCTTGGCCTGAGGTGAACAATGATGAAAGTAGCTGTTCCTGGAACTTTCTGTTTGCTTTGCTAACTTAAAAGTGCACAGCAAACAGAGAACGTCAGTTATAAACTATGCAACTAAAAGAAAGAGAGAGGGAGAGAATAATACTAATCACAAAAATAAGGCAAGAGGAGAAAAAGAGAGATCCAAACATGTACAGTTCTTGACAATAGAATCAATGTGGTTTTCATAAGGATTACTGTTATATAAACACATTTATATCAGATGAAATATGCCTTGGTAAAAAGTTCATTTTGTTTTGTAAGGAGTTAAAATACCATTTGATTTCATCTTTGAATGATGACTAGTAGACATGACTCCAGAAACTGCTGAACTCTACATTTTGGACAGTGTAGTATCAACAAATAACTTTTCCAACAAAATGCCAAAATGTGGGGGTAGCAACTGAGAACATAAATAATTCAAGTTCAAAAAGTAAATTCCTTTCCTCAGAGGACACAATTATTAATGCTTGAAGTTATGCAGCTCTCTTGTGGGGATTGTTGTGGCTTACTTGGACATAGTATGTGAAATATACATTCTGTTTCAACAAATCAGCTACACTTTCATGTCAGTGGAGGTTAAATT